TTTCTCCTTTGAAGGAAAGTGAAAGACGGCATGAGGGAAGAGAACGCCGGCCGGCTCAAAGCCGTCGCCAGACAAGAAGAGAGGGCTGCCGGGATCAACGGGGGCTACTGTTTCGCTTTCCATTCTCAAAATATTTCTCAAGTGAGACTCTAGAGTCATGTTTAATAAAGCCTAGAGATAGGTAAGCTTTTATTTATAATGATTTAGGGTTTGCCTTGGAACCATAAATTCATTAATGGTAGCGTTTCCGAGTGGATTAAACCATTTTTGGAAAATCGAGAAAAGGCAATTATTACATTAAAAGACGAGCCGTTCTCTTTAAGAAGGGAAAAAGCAACCGTCGCATCAACTGCAAAAGTTTCTAAGGCTCAAGCCTAACAAGTTTACCGAGTTGACTAAACCCGAAGTGGGGAACTCGCTTTAAGCCGAGCTCAGTTCTCGCATTCTAAAGAGAAAGGTCTGATCAACCTAAAAATCTCAAAAAGCATTGCCACAAGGCCACAAAAGGTTAAAAAGCGGACTTTGCAAACCCGCATATGAAAACCCCCTTGGGTCACAACCTAGAAAGGTTTAAAAGCCTCCTCAGGCAAATATTTTGAAAAAATAATAAAGCCTCCTTAGGCCAAAAACAACAAAGCCTCCTTAGGCCAAAAATGAATTAAGTCTTAAAGTTAAAGGGACAATCCCCAATTTAAAGTGGACACAGCCACTACGGAGCGATCTCCACCTCGGGCTCCTGCTCAGCAACCAGAGTTTCATTCACCTCCTTGACTGGTGCTTGATCAGATGAAGCTCCCGGACCACCCTCCGCGGGACAACCAACCTCCGGAGTAACCTCCGGTACCACAGGAGCTACGGGCGGGACAATGCCCTCCGTCTCACTTGAACCTGGAAATAATAATTCCATTCAATCAAAGGTACAAGGTAAGAAAAAGTAAGCCTTAGGAGCCAAGCGTTACCTGCCCAGTCTAAACCCGATTCACTTATTGGAGGTGATTCAGTAAAGAATGCCTCGAAGTCAAGTGGGTTGAAGGCCGAAGTGGGAAGAGCTGCCAAGTGATTCCGTTTTTCAGAAAGGTTAGTCGACAGCTCGGTCCTTTCTTGCTCTTCGGAGAAATCTGCTTCATGGATTTGATCCAGCAAAATCAGGTTACTTTCGTGCTCCTTGATGTCTGACTCCAAGTCCGACCTAGCCTTCTCAGTCTGCATGAATCGGATGGCCCCTTGGATCAACTCCATCCTGCGTCCCTTGACCTCTTTTCTAGCTTTTGATGCCGACCTCGCCAACTCGGAATCACGCAATTTGGCGATCGCCTTGTATTTTGCGTTGAGCTCGATGAGTTGGTTGTTCAGGGAGTCAGCGTTTGATTCGGACTCTTGAAGCCTACCTTGAATGCCGGAAAACTCTTCCTGAAGCTTGAAGTTCTGGTCGTACTGACCCTGCAGCTCCCCCTTTACCTGCGCAAGCTCGGATGTTAAATTATCGACTTTGTCCTCCAGCTCGTGTTTGGAGCCGGCAGAAGAACTGACTTCGGCCTCAAGAGCGGAGAGTTTCTTTGTCCACATGTCAATCTCCTTCTCCCGGTCAATGACCAACCTTTCGTAATGTTCGATCATGTCGTTAAATTCGCTTTGAGCCTGGCGTTATGTATGAACCCGGGATGACGAGTCAGTTCGCAGAATGGCAATACAATAAAAAATTTACATAAACGAAAGCGGGACTAACCCGAGATGAGTGATGCGCGTGAAGCAGATAACGTTCACGAATCGCAGGGCGCCATTTGTTGAAATCTGGCAAGATCGAACCCGAACGGGTCTTGAAGCATCGGAAGACGCTGCCTTCTGTCTCCATAGCTGCGAAGAAGGAAGAATTGTAAAAATTGGAATTTTAAAGACAAAAGTTTAAGTGTGTAAATCACCGAACCTGAAAGCGATTTGACTTGAGGTACAAGAGCAGGCTTCAGCCTCGAGGGAGCATCTCGAGATTCAGAATCTCCTTTTTTCGGAGACGCGCTCCGGGCGGTCTTTCCACTATCAGGCTGGGAAGAGGAAGACATGTCAACCGGTCGTGGAGGACCCATTGGTTCAGAAGGAGGGGATGACCGAGGTGAGCGGTCAGTCCGGGCCCTTGACTTTTCCCTCTGCGGGGAAGGATCTCTGCGAGAAGACTTATCTCTCTTTCGACGAACCAAGTTCTTGATTGGCTCGTTACTAAAATCATCTCGGGAAGGACGAGGTGAATCACGGCGAGGAGATCGATCCCTCCGAGGAGAACGTGAGTCGCGACGATCGCGACGGGGAGTTAATCTGAAGGAAGCGACAGATCGGGCTCCCTCGGTACTGCCATCGTCGACCAGCAAGGTCCTACTATAGTCCTTCTTGTCTATGGAAGTCGTGAGAAACTTTTTCTTCTCCTCGCAAGCCTCAGCCATCGGCTTGGAAAGCAACTTACGTTTGGCCGCAAGGGCCCGAGATGACATTCCCTGAGTTGAGGGAGGGGGAGGAATTTGGTGAAGATGACCAGGCGGACTCATCCTGAGTCTGTGGTTAGCCTCTAAGAATCGTTCGAGAGTGAAGGAATTCCAAAGGGTTTCCCCTTCGAGAATTATTTTGAAGAATTCGATGAACTCTTCAGATGGGAGATTGGAAGCGATGAAAGCTGCGAAATGAAACAACGGTGTTAGTTAATAAAAATAAAGAAACAACCGGGGAAGATACGGGCAACCTAATCTCTACCAGGTTTCGCCGACCACTTCGAAGGAAGGAAATCTGCAAGATTTCCAATCGAAGCGGGAGTTTTCTTAATCAAGAACCAAGGATGATGCCAATTTTCATCCTTGTTTGGAAGATGCGAAATGATGTTCCTGTTGGCGTTAGGATATGCTGAGAAATACCCCGTTTTCTTCGATGAGCTTCTCACGCTTAGAAGCTCATTTAGTTCGGCGACTCCGATAACGTAACCGGCCTCCGCCGCGATTGTTATGATGCCGAGAATAGTACGAAGAAGATTGGGGGTTAATTGAGGAAGAGCGATTTCAAGAGCCGCTAGGTATAAAATTAGGGCTTCGGGAAGAGGAAAGGTCAGCCCGCAACCCTTGAAATAAATCTCATACACACAGAAGTAACCATCGCGATGGTTCTCTGGAGATTCTGTGGGGGAAGCTATTTGAGCTTCCGCCATAATTTCCGGCGGAATCCGGCAAAGCTCTCTCAATCGCTCGAGGGATTGAAGAGTACAAGTGGACCTAAAGTGTGGACCGGCAATATCACTAGGGCGGGTGCACTCGTCGTTACTAGAACGCCTCTCGTCGAAAGACGGAGACTCGGGTCTATCGGAATCGGAAGTCATTGGGAAGAAAGAGAAATTCAAGTTCCGGCGAAGAAGGGTTTTTGTTAAAGGAACGAAGAGAGAGGTTTTGATTAAAGTACAAAAGTAAAAGAAGAGAGTAATGGTGAAAAGAAGTTACCTCAAGCTAATGATGAAACCGCCTCGGAAGTCGTGTGAGAAGTGGGAAGGTTTTTCCCGTTTTAATAGTAATTAATCAATATACGGTCATAATGATGACAGATGTCACTCGGTTAAAAATGGCTAGTGCCGAAATTAAAGGAGTGATGAGATTTTCGGCGGGAAATCAGAAAGATTCTCGAGCGCAATCTTTGGCCACTTGAGCATTTAAAGTCCTCCGAATTGGAATAGCACTTCGAAGAACTTGGGGGGCTAATTGTTGGTGTCGGATCCCGCACCAGAAGTACGAGACCAACCAAAGATTGCCACGTAGTCAAGCGGGTGACCCATAAAGGATGAAGCCCATTGGGCTCATGAACCGAGGGGACGGTCGAAGTGGTTGTCACCACTTCGAGAGTCCGAAGTGACTGCACTGTGTCACGAGTTCGGTGTAGAAGACACGGGTAAGTCGGTTCAAAGACATTTGGGCCAGAAGAGGCGAAGCCCATGAAGATCAGAGTCAACTCAAATTCAAACGTTGAGCATTAAAGCCGAAGAATCAAAACGGACACATTTAAGATGAAATAATTGTACTTAATTACTCATTTTAAATGTCGTTTAGCTATGTATAAATATAAAGGCCAATGGCCATGTAAAGGGGATCTTCCTCTAAAGAGAGAAATAATATAGCAATTTTCGTATCAATTCACAAGTTCTTACGTATTCATTTTTGTCCCTCAAGAATTATCTTTCCCACTTAACAAAATACTTGAGTGTGTGAATCCGACTTCCACACATGAGCTTGTAAGCAAAAAATTCCCTCATACTAACCCTTGTTCGTGGATTTGTTGAACCTGTTGTTGTCTTCTTTAGTTGTAAATCAATGTGGTAACCGTCTTCTCCGTAGGGAAACAAAAGCGGATATTGTAATGGAAGATATCCAGCATGAAGCTCACTTATTCTCTTTAAATTTCCGTCCCTTGTTTCCAACACAACATCTCTTGGCTCCATTTCTATATCAAATTCTCCAGCATATAAAGCAGCAACTTCTGTTGTGGTAGGAAGATTGTAAGTTTTTTCACTTGTACTACTTGTAGCACCTGCAGTTCGCCTCGAAATCAATTTCAACTGAACATTTGACGAAGGTGTATCTTTGAAACGATCTTTTGCTGTTCTCAGAATCTTTGAGTATGGATTATACTCATTAAGCATCTTTTTTATATCTTCCACAATATCATCTCGTAGGGTTTTTGATTCTGGTAATTGACCAGTTCTCTTTGCACTGCAAAAATTAAATATAATGAGAAGTTCTGGAAAATAAAGATGCAAAGAATAACATAAAAAAATTTGTGTAATAGTTGTAAATCAATGTAAAGTAACTTTAAACCTGAATGCTTCTATTCGGTTTTGATTCTCATTCTCAGTGTCTTGTATATACAACTGATTGAATTTAGGTGGTTTTCCTGGAGGAGGAAGTAGACTGCCAATCCTATGACAATTTTGACCTTGAAGTCGGTAAACATTTGGCCCTCGTCCTTTGTTCACCGAGGTGTCAATTGTTCCACCCATAGATGTGAATGCAAACATTGAGTTGTAAGGTCGTATATTCTCCATGAAATTTTTGCTTCTTTCATCACCTTTGAACATGAGATCTTTAAGAATCTGGGGAAGTTCTGGTGGTGGTGCCAAATCGATCTTTCCATGCATACAACAAAGTGAGAACTTTGGGTAAGATTTCACGCGCCTCTTTTCTATGCGTTCGTTATACCACATTAAAGCTCCACAGTGTTCACAGTTGTAGATTGCATCCCCATTGTCATCATACTCTTCAGAGTTATATAGTGAATTATGTGAACGTGAGGATGATGCATGGTCTGAAAAGAACATAAAAACATTATAGTTTAAACTCTGAAAAATTTATTAGTTAGGATCGGATGATGCTAAAAAGTATGTACCTTTAGATGGAGCTTCTTTGTGATTATCATGTCTTGATTCTTGCATATATGGTTCCTTATGCACGTTTGTTTTCCTCCTACTTGCTGCAGTACATGGAAATCCATTGCCATTGCTCTTGCCGTTCTGTGTCGTCTCGTCAACGTTCGGTGTCGTCTCGTCCAAGTTTTGGTCCAAGTTAGTACTTGGAGCTGAAGCTGAAAATAAGGTATGATTTCCATGATTCTTGTTGTAAACTAAGTTTTGACATGATTCTGGTTGTGAACAACATTCTTACATGATTCTCCTTTCTTTCTTTTATCTTTCGTCTCCTTTATAATACGCATTCGTTTCATCCTTGGAGATTCACATTCTACTGAAAATATTTCAAATAAATAGCTGTGAAATCATAATATTATCCAAGGCATTAAATATACTCTTAGTAATTGATAATACCATTTGTAATATCACTCAAGCTATTAGGTGAAACTCTGTTTGGTTGCATTGGTGATATGGGGTTAGCTTCAGAATTAGGAGGAATGTTTTCTGTATATATAAGATAGAAAAAACGTTAAAGCAACCATTGGTTTGCAGAAATGAAATAGATTAATAGGTTTTTTGATTTAGTATTACCCTGATTTTCTGTTTGATTGTTTTTCTTCTTGGAACGAATCGCCATCCTCTCCACCCTTCTTTTCTTTGCTGTTGATGATTTCATTTATATTGGCCTTCGATAATAAAGAGTTTTGTTTAATACAAATCAATTTCAGGTTGATGTCAAGAGTAGAGAATCAATAAATATGGAAATTTGACAGAAGTTAAAAACCTATGAAGGAGGTAATGGTGGAGAAACACTTGACAGGATCCGGTGGTAGAAGATGATAACTGTCGATTGTAAAAGTTAATGGTGGGAACAATACAAAATAGATATTGAGATCGTGGGGTCTGAGATGTATATAATGGTTGTTTTAAAAGCTGAAAGATAAAAAATTGGGACTTAAGCCAGGTGTCATATGGAGGATGTTGCAGTTACTTGAAAATTTACTTGTGATTTATTAGATAAGGATATCTATTTATCTAGACATATATTAATTATAAACAAGCTTTTTACTTTTATTATATATCTAGGTAAATAAAGATTTTTTCTACTCGATATTTAAACTAGGATTAAATTTTTTTTATAATTAATTTCAGATAATGTAGAAATATAGTAGTAGAGGAAGGATACCACCAGCCTGTAATATAGCAATAAAAAAAATATTAATCGCAGTTTTTTTAAAAATTATTTGCATGAATTATATGAAAAGAATAATTATTAAGTTTTCAATCTACGTTCATCGATGTTTTACCATGATTCTATTTGGAAAAAAGCCGAAAAAATTCTCGTTAATTGGACCTTTAATAACTAATTGTTTTCGTTTAAAAGAAAAATACACATAGTAATTAAAGTGTGTGATTTAATATCCAAAAAAATAAAATATTGTAGTATGATGCAAAGAAGGCTAGAGGGAAAAACTCTCATAAATGCACATTAATCATTGTTGAGGAAGATTCAGCAAAACATGCATCGGTAAGTATTAGTGTCTTCGTATACATTCAAGGGTCATGTATGAGTTTTAACTGTTATTTCTAACACATCTCTGTTTAGATGGCCGAGTATCTGCAATGTCTCATGAGTCTCGACAATACTATGGAGTATATTTTAATAAGGGAAAAATTTTAAACGTAAGAAAGACAACTAAATCTGAGATTTTGGGACTGCACGACGATAACAACTTCGGGTAATGATCTTGACAGATTACGTTTGTTTTTCTACCTCAGCGATTCATCATTATCCTACATTTTTGTAATTGTGAAATTAGTATATTACACGTTTTTCTGGATAATGATGGATTGTATATAAACGGCCTATTCATCAATATTTTTTTATCTCTTTTAGCCGGATTTAGTCAACATAACTCCATTTTTCTTGGTTGTCTTTACAACCCCGATTGTACAAGTAGAAATTAAATATGATGGTGTTCAATTAATTTCAACAAAGATGAATAAATAATATTAGTACTAAAGGTGTACATGATGGTTATTTTTTGTCTAGACGTTTTATTTACATCTCCAAAATCAAATTTATCTCTAAAATGATTATCTAAATGCGACAACAACCTTATCAATACAACCAACTAAATTTAAGTTGGTTGTTGTGAGGGCCACAATCGTTGCTCTGTAGAATTATTTATTTAGTTAGTAATATGAACAAATAAATTAATGAATCATTCATTATTTACAATTATTTTTGAACTCGAGCATATCTCATTTATTAGTATCTCCTAGACTACTACTCCCTCCGTTTTCGAATAGTTGTCGTTTTAACTATATGCACACAAATTAAGAAACTATTAATGTTGTTAGTTTTTTCAATATAAAAATATCATTAATTATCTATCTAAACATAATTTAACCAATAGTAAATCAAGTTGCATATAAAAAATAAATATAAAAAATAAAAAAATAATAAATTTTGCATCGAAAATTGAAAACGACAACTAATTAAAAACAAAAAAATTTCTCTAAATCGACAACTATTCGAAAACGGAGGGAGTATACTATATAAAATCATGCAGATTTTTTTGGTATGTTTTTCCTCCACAATTTCTTCTTCGAATTTAGGATTCTTTCAAATAACTTATTAAATAATAGATTAGCCGATTAAGTATATGAGGTATTATTAAAACTAGGATATGAGCCCCCGCGATTTGGCGGAGAACCTCATTTTCAACAAAATTTTGTAATGCTAAATTTTCTTTGACTGTGTTTATGTATTAAATTATTGTGATAATGAATTCAAATATTTGGAATATTACATAAAATCTACCAAATTTTTATGTTATATCGTAAATATTTTTCAAAAATTATTAAAAACTTTTATGATTAAAACTATGATCTTTTGAGACATTTTTTTTAAGGTAAAATTATTTATTAGTGAAAAATTCATCTCGAAGTTATAGTAAAGAAATGAGACAGCGAAAAAACATTTCTAAAAATTCGATAAATATTTTGTTAAATCAATAATTCTAAAAAAATCAATCTTAAAATAATATATGTTTACTATATTTTTAAATACTTCTAAACAATTAATACATACAAGTAAAATAATTTCTTTAGCAAATTAACAATAAATTAGGTTGGAAATAAATGAGTGGTAAATGAACACACATAGTAAAAAACTACATGAAGAATATTTCTAATTACTGTCCAATATAGGGTTCTTCTTAATGGACAACCTCGAGGACTAATAGTACCAGAGAGGGGTTTACGGCAAGGAGATCCGCTGTCTCCTTATCTATTTATTCTTTGTACTGAAGTATTAATTGCGAACATACGGAAAGCAGAACGGGATAAATTAATTACGGGTATCAAGGTGGCAACTGCAAGCCCATCGGTTTCTCACCTGCTTTTTGCGGATGATAGTCTATTTTTTTGTAAGGCTAACAAGGATCAGTGTGGGTAATCTTGGGGATCTTAAAGCAATATGAAGCGGTCTCGGCAACAAATAAATTATTCCAAATCTTCGATCCAGTTTGGGCATAAGGTAGATGACGGTGTTAAGGAAGATATCAAATCTACCTTAGGTATCTCTAATATTGGTGGTATGGGTTCATATCTTGGGTTGCCAGAAAGTCTCGGTGGTTCAAAAACAAAAATTTTCTCTTTTGTTAGAGACAGGTTACAGACAAGGATTAACGGATGGTCGGCAAAATTTTTATCAAAAGGTGGGAAAGAAGTGATGATTAAATCGGTAGCTACGGCATTACCAACTTATGTTATGTCGTGCTTCAGACTACCGAAAACAATCACTTCTAAACTCACTAGTGCGGTTGCTAATTTCTGGTGGAGCTCGAATGGTGCCTCCAGAGGTATGCATTGGATGGCTTGGGATAAATTATGTATTAATAAATCGGAAGGAGGGATAGGATTTCGAAACGTCGATGATTTTAATTCGGCCTTACTTGCAAAACAGTTGTGGCGGTTGATCACGGTTCCGGATTCTCTCTTTGCGAGGGATTTTAAAGGGCGGTATTATAGGAAATCCAATCCTTTGGAAAATATAAAGTCATATTCCCCATCGTATGGGTGGCGGAGTATATGCTCAACTAGATCTCTGGTTAATAAAGGACTTATTAAAAGAATCGGATCTGGGAATTCCATCTCAATTTGGGAGGATCCGTGGATTCCAGCTTAATTCCCGAGACCAGCAAAAAGTAATGGATCTATTAATGACCCATCTTTAAAAGTTAACATGCTTATAGATAGTCGATCTAATTTTTGGGACATTGATCTCCTCAAAGCGGTTTTTGACCAGGAAGATGTCGAGTTAATAAATGCCCTACCGGTGGGTGCGCCAACCAAGGAGGACACCTTGGGTTGGCATTTTACAAAATCCGGCAAATATTCAGTTAAGTCGGGGTATCATACCGCACGGTTGGATAAGTTGGAGACCAACTCATCTTTCATTGGGCCAGATTTCAATAAGTTAAAGGCTCATACTTGGAAAGTACAGTGTCCACCTAGGATAGGTCATTTTTTATGGCAAATCTTAACGGGTTGTGTACCGGTTACAGAGAACTTACGAAAAAGAGGAATTGATTGTGACACTGGTTGTGCCAGATGTGGTGCACTGGAGGAAACAGTCAATCACACACTCTTTCAGTGCCATCCAGCAAGACAGGTTTAGGCACTTTCTCAGATTCCTACGGTTATGGGGACTTTTCCCACAGATTCTATTTTTGCAAACTTGGATCATTTATTTTGGAGAATACCATCGGAGTTTGATTCTATAGCTTTTCCTTGGATTATTTGGTATATTTGGAAAGCACGGAATGAAAAATTGTTTGAAAATGTGGATAACGATCCGTTAGAGGTTTTACGGTTAGCGGAAAGAGAGGCACAATTGTGGCACTCAGCTCAAGTGGAGCTTCATACTGAAACTCAGGCTTCAGTGGAATTTCCAAATCGGCCTCAAACGAGGGGGGTGTCCCTAGATTCGGATTTTACAGGATACCGTTGTTTTATGGATGGATCCTGGAAAGACAGCGACAAGTTTTCCGGGATAGGGTGGTTTTGTACACCATCAAACGGTGAGCCATCAACAATGGGAGCTGCCAACCTCCGTAGAAGCCTATCTCCGCTACATGCCGAATTCGAGGCCCTCCTTTGGGCGATGAAGTGTATGATTGGTGCAGATAATCAAGAGGTAGCATTCCTTACAGACTGTTCTGACCTGGTGAAGATGGTGTCTTCCCCAACCGAATGGCCGGCCTTCTCAGTGTATCTGGAGGAATTTCAGAGCGACAAGCAAGAGTTCTCTACCTTCTCTTTATCTTTAATTCTCGTTGTGCAAATGTAAAAGCGGATAATCTGGCACGAAAAATTCGTACGGAACCGCTTCATATCACTTATGTAAACAACATTCCACGAGAATGGCTCTTTTGAGCACTATTTAATTACAGATGACAAAAAAAAAAAGAATATTTCTAATTAAAAATAGTAAGAGAATGTGACTCCTCAAACACTTATAAAGTTTTTAAAGGAGCTTATTTCCCTTTTGAAGAACCCATTTTCAAAAAATGCTACATTTAATTGTACATTTTCAAAAATGTCCCTCATTAAATCTAAAAAGATTTATAAGGTACTTCTCGATGGTAACTACTATCCGAAGACTCGATTCAAGTATTTATATGGTTTTATAAGGTATTTCTAAGATATTTAGGAAGATTTTATAACGAAATTATATAAGGTATTTACAACATATTATAAGGTTTTACACACGTATAAATGTAGTTTTGTATGTTTTTATAATGTTACACCCGTGTTTAGGTAGATTTAAGATTTTAGAGGTATTTTTGAAAAGATTTTAGGGAAGGAAATGTTTTGAAAAGAGGCATTTAGATATGGTTAAATTTCAATTTGAAATGAGGTAATTTAATTTTAGTTTCAATTTTTAATTTATCACTTTCTTAGAAATATTTTTGGATTGTTTTTTTTATATATTATAACTATTCATTATATATTTTTTACTAATAAATATTTTTACCCTCATAAAATATGTTTTAGAAGATCGTACCTTTAATCATAATTCTTATTTTTAATATTTTTATTCAAAAAATAAAGTTTTAAAAATCTTTGGAAATTATTTACGATATAACGTAAAAATTTGGTTGAATTTATGTAATATTTCAAATATTTGAATTCAGTATCACAATAATTTAATACATAAACACCATAAAAGAACTTTGGGGCTTTTGCAAAAATGCCACTTTTCAAAAATACCCATTTTTAAAACCTTATAAAAAATGCTCTTAAAAATATAAGATTTACCTAAATATGTATGTAATATTATTAAAACATACACAAACTACATTTCTATGTATCTAAAATCTTATAAATACTTTATAAATACCTTATAAATGCATTTTAAATACCTTTAAAAACCTTTAAAATATCTTGTAAAACCTTTGAAAAACCTTAAAAATCCTTTAAAATAACTTGTAAAACCTTTTAAAACACCTTATAAAACCTTATAAATACTTGGATCGAGTCTTCAAGTAGTAGTTACAATCCATAAGTACCTTATAAACCTAATAAAACTTTATAAAAATTTCAGATTTAAAAAGGGCATTTTTGAAAATGGACATCTAAAAGGGGCATTTTTGAAAAGGGGCACAACAAAAAGGGTATTTTTAACAATTTCCCAAGAACTTTTTGCAATATAAAATATAGTTGAAATGAGTTCTCCCGACATTGCAGGGATGATAACCTAGCACCATGTTTTGACTGGTCTCAGTTTGGTTTTTTAGTATATATTTAAAAAAATTGATTCATTCTAACAATATCCTAGCAGCAGACTCTTGTGTTTTTGGATTCAATAATAAGAACTTTGAGAAATGTTACTTTCTTAGAATTCTTTTTAAAAATACTCTCATATGTTGTCCATTTTCAGTTATACATCTTTTCAAAAATGTTCCGTAATGACTCTGGTGGCTTACGGTGGTTGACCGTAAGCCAAATCATTTTTAGAAATCCTTTTAAACTCTTTATAAAACTTTTAAAGTCATAATAAAACATTATAAATGGAGTACAATTGAAAATTGACAACATATTGAGAGCATTTTTGAAATTCCCTTTTAATATTTGGTCATCTAGCAAAACATTACTAAAAAGTGGAAACATACATATATGGTATTGCTGAGTAAAACAAATAAATACAAAATACATATGACTAGATTTTCACCCGCTGTGTACCACAGGGCTATAAATTTTTTAGAAAATCAGAACGATTTGGTTTCTAATATTTGTGATTTTATAAATCATATCGATTTTATATTATATATAAAAGTTTGCAAATTGTATCATTTTAATACATTTATATTTTATAGTTTACAATTATCATTAAGTAACGGTATGCCACATGACAATTTTTGTTTTCTACAATCATAACTAAATCACGCTGAATCGATATGTTTAATATTGATGCTGTTAAAATAATAAAACGAGGATTTAATCCGTATTAAAGCGGCGGGTTAATAATATTTGAAGTTTTTATTGTTGTTGATTTCGTCCTGCCATATAACTCTGTCTCCTAATATAACATGTCTAGTGTTATTTTAAAAAATTTATAGGTTTAAATATTCATAATATTCTAAATTTTTTTATTTTAGATATATCAATTATAATATTTTACTTTTTATAAACTTAAAATTTACAATATCCGGTAAAATTAAACAGTTTAACTAAAAAAATGAATTAAACATATTTGAATGCTTATTAAAAAATAAAAAATATTGCCTTTTTGAATATTCAACATTTATTCGAATGATTGAAATTTTAAAACAGAAAACGAAAAAAAGGTGTGTGGGTTTTTTTTAGTTAGGGTATTCCATCATTAATGTAATTCATATTACCAAATCTGTATTAAAAATCATAATCTTACTCAAATATATTTTTTGTTGAGGGATTTCAAATTTAAGGATATTAAGAAATATGCTTTTAATGTTCTTCCTTAGAATTTTGAAAACGGATATAACTAATTAAGATTTTTTTTGTAGAATATTCAAAATAATTATTATTGTTTTTCTAATTCAAAAATAAATATGGCAATTTGGTTGTTACAATTTTTAGAAATAATTGAAAATACTGACAATAATTAACAATTCGAGAATCTACAAAATCTTTCCAAAAAACAGTTTCAATGTGATTAAGACAGTTTCAATGTGATCAATGATGCAAAAAACATTATTTGCTAAATGTACTAAAAAAATGTATACATAGATACTAAAAGTATATACATTACACATAATAGAGGAAAACAAATGGAAAACCTAACATAAGCAAGTTAAACATACAATTTTGATTATGTTTTAAAAATATATATGTGATTATTTATTTTTTTAAAATACTTCTTTACATAATTTACTTCTTATAAATACTAAAACTGAAACATTGCATTTGTGAAAGATATCATCGGCAAATGAGAATTTATAATATATTTCAAAAGAAAACATATTCTAGAGACATATTTGTCGATCTAGCTAGATAGTTATTTCATAACGATACAATTCCGTAAACTAAATCAATTTCTTTCGAATAGAAGAAAATGTATTATAATTTTCTTGAAACTTTTTTCCTTTTATGTTTTGCATAGAGTATATCTTTGTTCAAATATAGTTCGTGTAATAACTAACGTCAAGATAAACATTATGGAACTCTAAAAAAAAACATTCATTTACTAAAATCTATGTGGTTACCATTCATCATCCAAATATAACCACGTTTGAAATCCATTTGTTCTCTACTATATAAACACCAACTACCGCTTGTTCATAATCCCACAGAGCCAATTTCCGATACAATCAAATACTATAAATACCATAAATTGAACTCCTAATCGGGGTTCCTTTTATAAATTTATTTATTTATTTATAATAATATGGGGATGTCAAAAAGTATCAAGGTTATTCTATCTCTTGCTCTCGTACTGTTTTTGGCACTTGCAACAACCAAGGTTGAGGCCACAAGATACATAAGTTATCGTGGTATTAATCATGGAGATCATGCTATACATTGTGACAAAGCCCACCCTAATACATGCAAGAAGCAAGAAGCAAATCCTTACAGGAGAGGATGCGGGACGCTCGAAGGTTGCCATCGTGAGACAGGTTGAAAATGAATCAACCAACCTGGCAACCCACCCAATAGCGTAAAATATACATCAATTCATTGGTTAAAAAAGTGTTGACATGTTTCTCATTGGAGTACCTTGGTTATTTATATACACACTTTACATCCTCATATTCATTTGTTAATGAGATTATTTTGGCTTTGTAATTGATTGTAATCACATGATGTTATGATCAATCATAAATATATATATTAGTCGATATTTTGACAATATTTCGAGCTTTTTCTCACTTTCTTATGTACATTTGAACGATTATCATACTTCTTGCCACTATAATATAACAAGGACTATGGGAATATACAGTAATTACTCATCCCTAGGATGGAATTCAAAACAGTAAACCCAAGACTAAAAATACATATTTTGTTTCATGTCCAAGATTCTCGTTCAAAATAAAATAAAATAAAAACCTTACTAAAACGTATTGAAAATTGTTGAAACAGCTGCATATAGACGTACTTTGGTCTATTAGGCGATCAATTATATTCACTTTACTAGAATTTGTGCAAAAAAAAAAGCAAAACCATTGTTTTAATATGTTATTTATTGATGACATATTTTTAAATGTAATTATAAGAATTGCCGAAAAAGGAAGCAAACAAGTGTATGATATTACTTAATTATTTGAGAGTGAATAACCAAGAATATGTTCAAGTTAAGAGAATTTGACTAACATGAGTGTATATAGGATGATGAGAAAATTAAAGTATTTTAATTTTATACATAAATGACATGTTCTAGAAAGTTTTTTAAGACAATTGTATATTAGTTATTGCAAATTCTAAAATCAAATAAGTTATTCTATACACACTTTTTTTTTTCATTGGTATCAGCTAGTTTTTCAGTATATTTTTTTAAAAATATTCATTATATTTAACAGGGTTGACGAGCTATTTTCCCACAAAAATTTTCGCATCAAGCATGATAGATCCCAAACTATGATCCCGAACAATTTATCCCTGAAATTTTTTTACATATCTATTTTCCTCCGAAACGAAAGTTTAATATCTAAGTCTCCCCAAATTAATAGGTGGAGATCTATTAACCCACAAACCTTAGTTTATCGGTTTATTGTTTGTTTAACCAGCTAACGAAGACACTAAACCGAATTAAACCTAATCTAAACCGAGTACAATTAAATTAATTAATTAATTGAATAATTAAAGCAAAAAAAAAACACGATGGCTTTTTCTTCCTTTTGGAAAATTATGGAACAAATCCGTGTACAATTAACTTAGGCCTGGGCATAATACCCGAACCCGAAGAACCGAACCGAACCCGACCCAAAATACCCGAACCCATTCTATTTCGGTTCCGGCTAATTACCCGATCGGATTCTGTTTTCAAATAACTGTGGGTATCGGGTATTACCCGAACCGAACCCGATACCCGTGAGTACTTTTTATTACCTGAACATATATACACATATGAGGACATATATGCACTAATAACTTGAATTTGTGACTTGTTTAATGATTTAAGTTATGAAAAAACTCAAAACAAGGTTTACTTCTTGTTTTATATTATTGTCTTAAGGAACAACTTGTTATAATTTCAGATCTTTCGGGTTTTATGGGTACTTTTATGTATGTTTGGGTATATTTGGACAAAGTTTAGGTAAGTAGTACTCAAACCCGAAATAGTTTTGGTTATTTATGAGTTCTTTAACCAATACCCGAATTACTCGGACCCGAAGTGAACTCTAACCGAACCCGACCCGAAATTGTACATATAACCCAACGGGTCCAAAATTTCTAAACCCGAAAAACCCGAACCCGAAAGACCCGACCCGAATACCCACATGCCCAGGCCTAATTAAACCTCTCATCTTCCCTCAAAAAATTCCTTATTGTGTTAAAGAAAGCTTAAACCTTTCTAGGTTTCTTTAACTACGGTGACTAATTGGACAAGGGTTGGTTTTTGGGTTTCGTGACTTCACACGGAATCGTTCATGACAGACTAACAAATGATAATTTAAATTTATTAGAATGATAAAAAAATAACGAAAGATTTCGATTAAAAGATACAGCTGTAAAAAAATATTTATTGCATCCTCTATACATTAAAAGATAATTTTTTGCTGATGTGGCAAACCCACAATTTTTTCACCTTTTTTTTTCCCTTCCTAATTCATCTATCATATTTGCCAAACACATCTTTCCTCATCTTCATCTTCTTTAAACTACTAGCCAAACACACTTCATTTTCTGCTAATATCTAGAATTTTCAAATTTAGATTTTCAAAATTTCTCTATTATCTGTAAAATAAAAAATTTAAAAATTCTCTATTATAACCATATATGATATTTCAAAATTCCTATATATTTAATGCTTTGAATTTTTATAAATACACTTTAAATATAAATATAAAACATCCTCTATATATTAAAATAGATTCATTTGGAAATTTAATAAATAAAACTATTTATATAAATAAATAGCATAAGATTTATAAACTATTTATAAAATATTTTAAATAAAACTAAATAACATACGATTTACCTAATTGTTATTAGAGAAATTGTTAAAAATGCCCCTTTTTCAATACCCCTTTTCAAAAATGCCCCCTTTGAGAGTCCATTTTTAAGTTTGCCCTCTTTTAATATTTAATGACCATTTTACACTTATTTGAAACAAAATCAGGTCCACAAATACAATATATTTTTTGGCGGGAAAAGTGATCCCGCAATTTTTCCGCCAAAACACTTGTAAAAACCTTTAAAATTTTCCCGTAAAAATTTTTTGCGGGAAAAGTGATTCCGCAATTTTTTTGATGAAATTTTTTTGGTGGGAAAAATTTACAAGGTATTTAAAGGTTTGGTGGGAAAAATTTACAAGGTATTTAAAGGTTTTACGGAGTATTTACAAGTGTTTTGTAAGGTTTTACAATGTGTTTTAAAAGGTATTTATAACTTGTAAAACCTTATTATAAGGTATTTATAACTAGTAACCCCTTTTAACTTGCCAAACTTTATAAAATAGCTTGTAAAATCTTATAGTATTTTATAAATTCCTTATAAATACATTGTGAACCCTTTTAAAATACATTGTAAAACCGGGTAAAATTTTCCCGCCAAAAATTTAACGCCAAAAAAATTGCGGAATCACTTTTCCCGCAAAAAATTTTTTTGGCGGGAAAATTTTCTGGCGGGAAAAAATTTTACGGGAAAATTTTACAAGGTATTTTAAAGTTCTTACAAGTGTTTTGGCGGGAAAAATTGCGGAATCACTTTTCCCGCCAAAAAATATTTTGTATTTTGTGGACCTAATTTTGTTATATTTCCTTATATATTTGTGATATCTTTTATTAAAAAAAGGGTAATTTAGTCATTTTGTACATAAAAAAATGGTATTTTTAAAAATGGACAGTCAAAGAGGGCATTTTTAAAAAGGGGTATTGAAAAAGGGACACTTTTGTGAGCCTCCCTTATTATTATTAGGGTTGGCTGATTTTATAGCCATAAATTAGTTGCATTCTCAGCTTTTCCCCCCAACCTTTTTGCCCCTGAAAATTTCACCATAAACTTAGATAATTCTCACAATTGCAACATGTACTTTCGGATTCATCCTTAAAACTACGCCTCCAATTGAATCGGCCAATAAACCGGTACCACATAACCCGGTTTAATTTAATTCAACTTTAACCAAATTTAAACCTGATTTTTACTCGACTCTTCACCCGATTTTGATTCTGGTTCAGATTCAGATTTTTCTCTAATAATCTATGTTCTGTTTCTTCGTATAATAATCTCTGTTTCTTCAATATGTTTTTCTCTAATTTTGAAACTCTCATAGAGACGTAACGGTTATTTTGTTGTTTAGCCTCTTTGTTCTTCGAATCCAAATGTCTTCTTTGTTTTGTGGAACAATGGTTAGATGATTTCGATTTCAATGGTGAGATTCTGTCTCTGTTTCGTCTTCTTCATCTTCATATCTGCAAATCCGAAATTAATCAATTCGTGGGATGAGACTGCGATTAGATTCGAACCGCCGTCACCTTCTCCGGCGCCGGACCCTTCACCGGATGATGATGAATCGTCGGTTTCATGCGTACCTAGGAGGTGTTGGCTCTTTAGATTCCACGTGTAAGCTCGTCGCTGATTTGAATCTCACACGTGACCTAAACATCACCGGTAAAGGTAATCTCCACGTTTTGCCTGGTGTTAGATTGGTTTGCCAGTTCTCGGGATGTTCGATTAGTGTCAATATCTCCGAGAATTTCTCGTTGGCTGAGAATTCGGGTAAAAATCGGGTGAAGAGGTAAATGCTGCTAGAGGTAAAGGTATTGATATAGAGGAAATACGTGGTGAAATCCAAGAAAGCTGTAGGAGGATCAATGGTGAAATCCAAGAAAGCTACAGGAGGATAAATCGGGTCAAAATCGGGTGAAGAAGAAAAAAATTCGGGTCAAAATCGGGTTTAAATTTGGTTAAAGTTGAATTAAATCAAACCGGGTTATATGGTACCGGTTTATTGGCCGGTTCAATTGTAGACGTAGTTTTAAGGATGAATCTGAAAGTACATGTTGCAATTGTGAGAATTATCTAAGTTTATGGTAGAATTTTCAGGAGCAAAAAGGTTGGAAAGAAAAGCTGAGAATGCAACTAGTTTATGGCTATAAAATCAGCCAACCTTTATTATTATAAAGATTAGTAAAGTATTTTTTACCCATTAAAAACCTATGTGAAGTGCTGGAAAAAAAAACCTATGTGAAGAAGTAGATAAAAATGAAGATAACTAAAGATGAAGTGGAAAAGCATTAATAAAAAAACAAAGAAACTGATCCATTTCGGCGGGTCTTCTCTTCTTCTTATGTGTTAACGAACTATAGCTTAAAATTCAGAGCAAGCGATCGCCGATTTGAACGTGGCTATCACCGGAGGCCCACCACAACGGGCGATACGCTCTAAGTAGAGTCAAAGCGTTATCTGGTGGTGACGTTGAAGAAACTCGCTCATGGTTTTTGTTATCTCTGCCGCCAAGTGTCGATCTTTCTTCGCCACTTCTCACCAAGTTTCAGTGATCCTAAAAATGGCGTCTTTCTTCGATCCCGTATACATATGCTTGAGTGGTTTCCTCTACAAATTCCTCTCCTTTTGGGTCTTCTGGTTTTGCCTTGTAAGTGTTTGTGTTTTTGCCTCTGAGACAAAATCATGCCGACTGGTAGGTTCGAGACTATGCGTGAATGGGTTCATGACGCCATCTCTGCTCA